TAATTAATGTATAACATATCAGTTGTTTTTATTCTAAGGAAAACCACCTGACAATGACACTAGAATCAAAGACTTGAATCTCAAACCCAATGCCAAGATTATGATGATGGGCACCAGAGAAGAAAAATTGGTAAAGAAAAGCTCTCATTGATAAAGACCTTTAACACTTTTATACATATAGTTAACATGTATTGCAACTATTTTGATGGATTTTTCAGTATTTTCAATCATGAAAACACCATCATAGGCATTGCTACATGTTCATTGTACTTGACCTGAGTTGAATTTGAAAATTATCACTTCAAAAYTTACTTTAATCTTTGTTTGTGTGTCCACAGGCTGACGTTATCAAACCTTCTGACGAAGTACTCAATAATGAAGTTGTAAATGATTTTGACATTGAAGAAGATGATGTTTTATTAGAAAACAGGTTAAGTGCTACTATAAACTACAGTACAGCACACACTTCTAATAGACCTTTTTGYAGTTAAAACCAAAGCAAGCAACATGTTTGCTGCAKCCTTCAAATGAACAAGGTGTCWGGTCATGTCCAAATGCTGGCAAGGATCCTGTTCCTACTTAGGATCTTACATATGTAAGAATGTGATCCTGCGAAAGATCCTATTCCCATGCAGGATCCTGCTCAAGATCCTGTCTACCATTTACATGTACACCAGGGATTGCAAAAGAATAAACAATCTCAAAAATGACATCTTTTTGGGTTGTYGCCCGATTTTGCCTCACTTTGGTGCAAACTCACAGCCTTCTTGCGCAACTTGTTTTGTAACTGTGGAAAGGGTTTTACAAGTTTTACTTACTAACTTCAGTTTTTACTTGACATTTCAGAGAAGAAAACTTAAGCAAGATAGCTAAAAGAGTGTCCGATTACAAGATAAATGTCCTGAATGARCCTGATCAAAACAAAAAGCTACTTGTCCTTGACGTGGACTATACRCTGTTTGGTTAGTATCTAGCATAATTGATATTAACTAGTACATGTATGTACATTGTATGTATCCAAACATGATGCCATAACATGATGGCTGGGATGCAAGACCATGCCAAAATGCATCTCATTTGTTGCTTTTTGATTCCACTTTAAGTGCATTACAAAGGGTGGACGATTAGCTACACTAAATTGATTTCCTAAATTGATTGAAGATATGGCTGGTTGATTACTCAGAAAAATTGAAAACTTGTTTTAGAGCAGTGATACAATGATGAACAGTTCATTTTGGAATTACACTTCATGTATATCCTCAGTTTTCTCAACATGTTTTGTAAATGAATGCAGCTGTATACAAGTTAATCACATGTTGGAAATTAAATGTACATGTAGGGTCTACATGCCTGACATTGTACGCTAACAAACCTTGTCTGTTTGTTAATTGTTTGTTGTTCTTTTTTTTGGATTATTAAAACTAATATATTTTTAGGTATATTTGATATTAATAGTTCTTATTCAATTATGTATTGTGAAAATTGTTCTGAATGTTTGTCATTAAGATCACAAGTCTGTAGCAGAGAGTGGATACGAGCTAATGCGTCCCTATCTCCATGAGTTCCTTACATCAGCCTTTGAGGATTACAACATTGTTATATGGTCAGCCACTAGCATGAAATGGATTGAAGCTAAAATGAAAGAACTCAACATGACCAACCACCCTGATTATAAAATGTGTTTCTWCCTGGACAGCTGTGCAATGATTACTGTCCAGGCTCCCAGGTATGGTGTTATAGAGGTAAGTCTGTTGTCAGATATTCGTTTGTCACACAGATTCTATGTTGTCAGGTCAAGGTGTGATTGCTGGCCTTTGAGAAAAGGTCATCAGTTCACACAGCTAAATGTATGTAACTATCTTTTATAAGGAAAACCTGACATTCTGATGCGGTTTCATTTTAATATAGTGCAACTTGAACATGTGGGTAATCTGCAATATAGATTAGTATTCCAGTATAGTAATCTATATTTACTATAGTACATGTGAAGTTTCTCATTTTTGGCTTGATGGCAATAGTTGAGTTTCGCGATCTCTTTTACGCTGTGTTAGCCTCAACTGTGTGCTGAAATATTCAGAAATGTAGATTAAACTCGTGAGATTTCAAACTATTTACATTGTCTTCTATACTCACGAATCTCTTGCATTTGCACGGGCTATTGTGAATAAAATAATTTTTTACATGGTTTTGAGGCTAACACAGCGTAAAAGAGATCGCTATAGGGTTTATTGCACAGCATTCATGCATTTGCAGGTCTTCTGACAATCATATTTGAATTAGCTGTATTTAGCAACATTAAATCACTTCTCAATAATTTTTTTGTCCCTTATTAACGCAGACCAAGCCTTTGGGTGTAATYTGGGGTAAATATCCATGCTTCAACAGCAAAAACACAATTATGTTTGATGATTTGAGAAGAAATTTTTTAATGAATCCACAAAATGGACTCAAGGTAAGCAGTACAGTGCAGTCAACTTCCTTGAACACTGATGCTGGATGATAAGTTACAGTTTGTTGTTTGGCATTTGCTGGTACATTATTTCATTTGCTGAATTGATTAGTTGATTACTTCAATCAATAACAAATTAACTAACAAACAAAAGGACGGATGCCCTGAGTTCAGTGGTAGTAGTGTCTGGGGCCATTCAACAACCTAAATTTTATGTTTTATTGYTTGTGTCTAGATCCGTCCTTTCCGTGAAGCACATTTCAATAGAGACAAAGACAAAGAGCTACTGAAGCTGAAGAAGTATCTCAAAGCTATTGCAAAACTTGATGACTTYTCCAAACTTAACCACAAACATTGGGAAAGGTACTGTTGATAGCACTAACTATGCCTTGTGCTGTTGTTGTTTTTGCTGAATGGATGTTTTTCATGCCTGCATGAGTGCATCCAAAATCTCATTTGAAAAACAATGTACATGTTTTTAATGTGTTTATTATTTCACCAGATACTCAAGCTAGCACTGAAATACTCAAGCATGACTAGATAGAATGAAATTCTACTGTGTACATATCTTTTATCAAAATGTTCGAAATTATTTAATGTACAATAATGTATCTAATGCACTTTGATTGTCTAATAGTAAAATTATATTGAACTCAAACGTCTAAAGTATTGTAGTAACAAGTTATTTATTTCCACAAGAACCGCCAGAAAAAATGGATATTTTTTTCACAGAATATCATGAATCTTGTATCCAAAGCCCATGCCCAAAAGTAATGTGAGTTAGCCTAGTGTATTAAGAGATCTATGGCCTGAAGTTTATTTGCTTGGCAGCCCTCTTGGGATGCCTGTGCCAATGATAGAGGGACTGCTGTCGACAGAGGAGATCGTGATGGATCAACACACATATACACATCAATCATCAGAAAATTTAGATAATACATGTAGAAACTATCTTCAACTTCGGAAGATGAATAGTGTTCAGTTGAGTTAAATACACTGTACATCTTCAGTTGACTCTTCCTGGATTCTTGGTACTTGATTCTGGATTCCATAAATTTGTAAGTGTAGACACGAGAATTGTACCTTGTTTTGTTTTCTATTGTTTGTAAGTAAGAACGTTAATGTAAATTCCATCGTGTAAGTCAATTAGTATATAAGTAGTTAGTTTCGTAATATCCATTGTCACAGTCGAAGTCGTAGTCGCCACAAATCTTGTAAGTAGTCGTTATATTTCTTCCGTTTTCTGTCTTGTAAATTTATATAGTTGTAGTAACACCGATTGTAATTGTTTGTTAAAGTAAATGAGATGTTATGGACTTTATTTGGAGTTAGTGGAGGGACTGTGGCCACAGTAAGGATTCAAAATGCAAGGCATCTCAGCTTTTTTGTTGTCAGTGCCTTGTTTATAGGAAACATTTGAAGTCACTAATTTACATGTAGATTCTTGATTAAAGAATGGTAAACAAAAATAATACTATGCCCACTTACTCTTAGACTCCTTGTTTCTTGTGAGTGGTATAATTGTTGGTATATAGGCACTTACAGGCACCACATACAACCTGTACAACCTGGCCCCAGTATTAGAAATTAAAAACAATTGTTCTATAGCTCTACTAAGTGCCATGTTGTAAGTCTACCCCTGATGGTGTGAGGAGGTAGCATGTGATGTAGGAAAAAGTTGTGCCATTTAAATTGGTATTTACAAAATCTACATTGTAGATCCAGGAGTTTTGTTTTTGCTTTATTTATTTTTAACTTTTTTTTATTTATTTTCATTTTTGTTTTGTTTTCTTCTGAGAGTATCAGACTACCACCAAATACCAAAAAATACTTTGCAAAGCATGATAAAGATTCTTTATACAAAATAAGCTTACTACTTATATTGAAATTCAATGCTGTTGTGCAGTGACATTTGTGAAATCTTTGCAGATGAAATCGTGTACATGTAGTTTCTTACTGATTATAATGGTGGAAATACTTGCAATTTCATTGAAATTATACTAATAGATAAAGAGGACAACTACATAGATAAATGTGTTCAATGCAACCAAACATGTCCAATTCCCACACTCACGTGTTGATAAGTTGTTAAAAGTTCCATCAACCATCATTGCATGTTTTCTGTACCATCTTGTTCAATTGATCGTCCAGTAAATCCTCTTTTATACCCTTGATTACGATCAAACATTGTCTTAGGTAATCCTTGACTGTATTTTAACTGTTCAACTTCCGTAGAGTCCAGTAGTTTGTCGAGTTGTCTTGATGACCGTTCTTCTAGAGTGCTCTCGGGTGCTTGCTGCCATTTTTCTTGGTTTCTAAGTCTAGTTTCAATGACATAACCAATAGCGCCAACTGTTACTGCAAMAGGGAATACAATATAAGGTGCATATGCTCTTGCACCAGCCAGTATCAAAGGCCACACCATTTAGTACAAAATAAGCAGAAAAAGTTAAAAACTTTACAAATTCCTCTTCTTTTCCTCGTTTCATCCAACTCGTACCCAGATTCTTCTTACGAGAAATGATGAGTAGTACCCAGGTCTCAGTGGGCCTCAGTCTTTCTCGTTACGTACAAGCAACGCCTGGACAAATATGTATTTTACGTGTCATACAAACAAATTGAATGTTTTAGGATATTTGGCTGGTATGTTTGTAGTTTTAGATGAGTTTTAAACGTAAGAAAAGCTATGAGGATTATTACTCCACGAAATGCTATTCTTTCATCTTTCGTCACATTCTTTTTGGGTCTTATTTGGATAATTTTACATTGCTTTAGCAACGGTATGTTTCAGATTTGACATTATTTTCAACCCTAATAAGGGAACGCCATTTTTTCATATTTGCCTTCTTATTATTAAGACATATACAACTAATTACAAAAACGCTGTCCTGAAATTTAGTTTAGGGACGCAGGAATACATTAAAATACAAAAGATGACCACTGAAGCTGAACACTTTCTTTTGTATTTTTTAATTACTCTCTAAAAAGCTCTTTTCCTTGGACAAAGTTTTTGTAATTACGTGTTACATTAGTTTCATTATAGTCTTTGTGTAACCCTTCTAGTTTAGTTTATTTATTAATTCAGTTGTAAATTCTATTTATGCTCAGCTRTTCTGTTTAAATGAGGGAAATGTTGATTGAAATTTAATGTAAATGTAAATGAAATTTATAAGTAGTCCAGCTAGTATTTATTTTGTATTATATATCTTAATGTTTTTTTTGCATTGAAAAAGGAAATAGGGACTTCCAAGACCAAATTTCCTCATTAAATATACAGCACTTAAGAACAAGAGAACTGGCATTGAAACAGAAAGAACAAGATGTTAATAACATGATAAACATATTGGGAATTAAAAATACTCTTAAATACAAATCTGGAATCATCCCAAAGATTTATATTATAACTCCAACACATTCAAGACTTACACAAAAAGCAGAAATAACAAGGATGTACAATACATTATTACATATCCCACAAATACACTGGATCATCATTGAAGATTCTGAGAAAAAGACAAATATCATATCACGATTTTTGAAAGATTGTGCAATTCCACACACACATTTGAATATACGGACRAGAAATGAGCTGATACGTGGTGAAGGCGAGCCAAGATGGCTMAAAAATAGAGGTGTTGAACAAAGGAACTTAGGAATTCAGTGGATACGAAATAATTCTCCTTCAAGTGAAGAAGCTGTAGTTTATTTTGCTGATGATGATAACACATATGATCTTAGGATATTTGAGATGGTGAGTAATTGAAATTTGTACAGCTCTTTGAGGAAACTCAGTACCTTATTGTTATAGTTATAAAATAATATGAACTAGATAGCACTTTCACCTGCACACACTCAATTTGCAATACTTCAGGGAAATTGGTTTTCTCAYTTCTACATGACTCTTTAAGTTGCATTTTTTATGGTTATCACATTTGTTGAAGTTATTTTGTCGGTATATAAATATAGACTTCAAGTCCTTGAGAATGTAAAATATTTGATTCCATAACCTTTACTTTCAGATGAGATACACCAAGAAAGTGTCTGTGTGGCCAGTAGGTATTGTGGGTGCACTAGTATGGGAAGGACCTCTTTGTAAAAATGGTAAAGTTGTCAAGTTTCGTACAAGCTTTAAGCCTGAAAGACCTCTCCCTGTGGATATGGCTGGTTTTGCTATTAATGTGAAAATKTTGAAAGAAAATCCTGAGGTGGAAATGGACGTTTATGCAAAACGAGGATATGTCGAGTCATCGATTGTTGGTCGGATTATAGATATTGATGAACTTGAAGCTTTAGCAGATGACTGCACAAAGGTATGGGATTTGAATATAATTCACCATCTCCTCGGAAAAATTACTTCTGAATGTACTATTATCTTGCTGGCAACAACTTGTTATGCATAAGAGCAGATCATATATTTCTCCAAGGAGCCCGTTGGCTCCTCCTTGACAGTGAACAGATCTTATAGTCATCATATTTATCATCGTTATCATAATGTTATTGTTTATTTGTTGATAGATTCTTGTTTGGCACACACAAACTGTCACCCCAAAAATAAAACGAGAACAGCGGACAAGAAGAAAATATAAAGACATTGAGCCTATCATGGAAGTCTAGAATGGTTAAGAAGTCCATGAATTATTAAAGATATCAACCCAACATGGAGATCTAAAGTACACTGGATGCCTCCAGTCACATCTTTTGCCACTGAGATCTATGATTGAGAAATATATATAATATATAATTGTAACTTTATTTGTTTATTTTCACTTTATTTGTTTTTGTCTGTCTCTTTTTTATATTTCACCACCAGAATTGTTTCTACTTTATTCCCATCACATCATCTGAAATTGAAAAGGAAATTCTTCTAACATCACAGTCAGCACTTGTTTCCTACAATGCATATCAAATATCGACCAAACTTATTTAAAGATCTAAGATAGTAATACCTGTTCATAAGGAAGATATTGGTACTGATTCTATTGYAGCCTCATCTCGCTTTTCCAATTTTGATACACGTCCGATTTCTTTGGAAATAAATAGGAAAGAAAGGGGACTGGACAAGAGAAAATGGTTCCCCGCCTCGTTAGTAGTCCCGCTCTCTTACTGATCTAACAAACTGATTTAGCGATATTGGATACTGGTCACATACCCTGCGAGCAGAGGAATTTTCCTACGATAATTCCTCTGCTCGTAGGGTACTGGTCACATCGTACACATATTCTTTGATA